GGCTCTACACTTCTTAATTTGTATCTCAGGTTACTTACACACAAGTGTAAAAGAAATACTGATTGAAGTGATCTTACAATTTAAGTGCAAATGCAACACTTGGTATGGATAAATAAATATGTTTACAGGTGTGTACAATTATTGTTTAATGAAGATTTTCAAAGATTCTTTTTTAGATGAAGAGAGTTCATTTAGTCTAGCTTCTAACTAGTACTTCTAACTTCTTCAAGTCTTCATTCTACAGAAAATAGTGAAAGATTCATTTAGAGAGAACATTCTTCTCGTTTGAAGTGCATTAAATGCATGACTAAATCTTCATGTAACTTTTGAGGAGAAAAAGTTTGACAAAAACAATGAGCGTGACAATTTATACCTAAAAAATGTGTTCTTTTTCTTCTAATAGGAAAAAATATGTTTATGTCTTCCTTTTATTTTTGGGTTGCTTCCCTATATAATGATAGAAAATTTTGATCCTTGTACTTCAAGGTTAGCAACCATCAACTTTAAACTTATTTTTTTAATAAAAGGTTGGAGTGCTAAGGCATCACAATGCGGAATGTGATCCTAGCAAGGCGAGCAACACAACGAAAAATTGTATAAGAAGAGAAATGAGATACAAAAGGTGAGGGAACCAAACTAAAACCCACACAAAAACTAAAAAAGCAAAAAAAGAAAAATCAAGAGAACTTAGAAGTCTTAACAAATCTAGACCGGGTTCTAAGCCCAAAAGAAACAACAAGATGTTTCTTCTTTTTCTAGCTTTTAGATACAACATGCTGGAATGGTTAAGCTTCCTCTTGAGCCATCCTATCATCCAAGTTGAAAATTTTTTCCATAAGGAGGTTTAAATCATGCAGAACATCAAATTCAAATTCATCCTTCAAGGAACGTGGGGCAAATTGAATATCAAAAGTAAGTTGTAGTGCAACATGATCCATAGGTGGGTTAGGTACTACGAATTTCACATATTCAAAATCAAACAAGTCCTTCAAGCTACGCATGACATCCAATGAGTTTCCTATTATAGATTTTGTTTAGTTTAATTCATGATCAATTGGTGCAATAAAATTTGAGAAAGAAATTGGAATCGAAACAACAAAAGGCATCTTGGATGGCAACACCAAAGTGTGTTGTAGTGAGACAATTTTTGCCTCAGACTCTGCAAAGAGTATCAAATCCTTATGCTTAGTAGCAAAACTAGGATTTGCACTAAGAGCAATCACAGGAATAACAAACCTACCCTTGCACATGAGCATAATCAACTATACCAACACTAGGAACAACATTAGAAAATGCAATATGATTAACCATGTTTTTGTTTCCACCTTTGTGTCAATCAACACACAATCATCATAAGTGTCTGCACTACATGAAGAAAAATTTGCTACAGATCCAACAACAACTTACATATTAATTGGAGCAAGTGGGACAACTAAATCAAGGTTAGAAACAAGTTCAAGATTAACTACAACACCTGCTATAGTAGAAACTGCATAATCATTGACTTGCTTTGCAACAATCACAACAATAGGAGCGTCAATCCCTCTAGGATGAACAACTGAAGCCAAGGAACCATGTAAGTAAATAATGGTATCAATATCATCAATTGCTACATCACTCGAGACTGTGTATCACCAACAACTCCATGAGCTACATATTGAATTCAAATCCTTTATGTTTTAATTATGGCAAACCTTATGAACAAAAGTCATAATACTTTTAAGTATTTATGCTACTGATGGGTTTGCTTAGTATATTCAAAGTATCAATTAAAGTAAACTCAAGATTGATTCAAAATTACTCTTAGAAGGTCAATGAGAAAGAACAAGCTTAAGCCAAATAAACTAGAATCAATATGGGCATAAATATTAGAATGAAACTTCAAAAGGTAAAACTCAGAAAAACTCAAAATGGATGTCTTAACTACGCATTATATAGTAAAAATCTTTAGGAGACTACAAAGTCCATTTGTGTAATATCTTGAGTTCTAGGAGTTCATTGGAGGAGATCTAGGTGGTTATGAAAATCCTGAAGAAGTATCTACATTCTTCATGAAGAAGTCAATAGCTTATATGGAGTAAATCATTTGCAAAATTGCAAAAGAAGTTGTAAATGATATTGATCTTAACTGCAAAACATAGCTATTGTATGTTGCACATATCTTGAGTTGTAGATATTCTCGAGGCAAACTTTGTGTCTATGAAAACTAGAACAATTATCTACAAACTTTATGCAAAACTTGTACACTAGAAAAGTCTAGATCATGGACAAAAATGGCAATCAAGATGGAAACATCGTTTTGAGTTGCAACACTAACATAATGCAATATTTGGAGCATATATGGACTTGTAGGCATGCGTTGAAGCCAAAATTGGTGGCTATGGAAAGACAGAAACATTATCTACAACTTTGATGAACAAGTCGTGGGGTGATAAGGTTTCTATCATAGAGAAATTATGATTGCAATATGGAAATGCTAATTTATCTAAAATAACATGATGTTCCTACAATGTTTTGGGAATATCTTGTACTAGACAAAGAACGAGTATCTCTAGCATACATTCCAACGGTCTCTACTTTCTCCTCAAGGACTTCCACATTTGAGAGAAAAGAGAGATGAAAGAAACATAAAAGAATTTGTAACTCATTTTTAAAACCTTATCTTATTTTAATTAAAAAAAATATAAAACACATATTTCTCCAAATAATTTGCATAAAATCATATACTTTCACAAAAACCTTTCTTAATTAAATAAAAGTACACTTAATTATTTTAAAAGTCATCATATTATTTATAAAACACATTTTACTAATTAAAAAGACATTCATTATTACTTTTAAAAAACTTGGAGTGTTACATCTATTGAGATGATAAATGCGGAGGAGGGAGAAGAAAAGGGAAAAGGTAATAAATAAAAAAGAAAATTTTTCCCTTACTAATGGTACTATATAATCTAATAGAACAAATTAATTTAATAGTTTGTAATAATTATATACCATGAATTACCTAATTCATTTGTTCACATAGGATTTCATCTAGTATGTAAGTTTCAAACACATAACACATTTCTTTTTAAAAGAAGTGACTCAACGAGCCAACTCATCGCACTAAATTGGTGCATTGAGTGAGACAAGTTGGCAAACTTGACATGCTATCATGTTTCATCTATTTTGCTGAGTTAGGGAGGCTAGATTATCGTACTCGTTTTATCATCCTTAGTTATTTATATTAAGTTCAATTGATTAATAATATTATATTGTTTAATTTTTTTAAAAAAAAAAAAAAAAAAAAACTCCCATCTTGGTTGCTAGAAAGGAGAATGGTAAGTGGCTATTTCTTTAGCAAATCCCACTGACCCAAAAGGCTTTGTAGCGTGAAACCATTTAATAGCAACAAGCATCGTGTGAGTGCCCATATAACATTTAATGGTACACTGACCAGACCTAAAACAGAAGGAAAAGGAAAAAAGAAACAAGAAAAAAGAAATGGTACTACATGCCTCCGATTCTGACGCCACTTTCTTTTCTTTTTTCTGCAGTTCTTCTTTTGTTTGGTACTTGCTGTTATGGAGTACCTTCGGCTTCATTGGAATAACGACAACTAAACCTTCTCTCTCTGCTTTTCACACTTAAATACTTCTTTCTTACTATTCATTATTCTTTTGCCCCCCATTCTTATCTTATTTCTTTTACACTTTCAACTAATTTTTAATAATATAAAATATTTTTTTTATATGACTCTTACACTAAAAAAGGATTTTATAATATTAGGACATGTATTATCATATACGTAAATTTGTTTTCATATCATTTTTTTTTATGTGTATATGCATGACTTTTAAAATCCTTTTACTCATACCCACATATTTGTTCTTAATATAAGTTTTACGTTGGTAACTTACAATCTTACGTCTAGCAACAATAAAGTATTTTTTATCATATAATTAGTCGATTAGTTAAATAATATTAACTATTAATTAATAATTAACTCATCCTCTGACACTTGTAAGAGGCTGTTTTTTAATATTAAAACCACCCATGCAGAGAGAATTGGTTAATATATAATTCAGTTTGTCAGGTTAATTTTGTGAGTTTTAAGTTTAATTATATAATAAGTGAAAATAAATTTAAAATAAATTTTTAACTATCATAAGTTTACAATTAATTTTTTTTTTATATTTATGTTTACATTTTGAAATAAACTTTGTTTTATCGTTTAATTAACTTTTAAAGTATTTCTAAACATTAGTTTCTTAAAATAATTGTTTCATTATTAATTCATAAAAAAGACAATTTTAATTAACTCTAAATCGCACCTAAGTCAGGTAAGATTTGATTAGTAAAATACATATGAAAAGAAGGTCGCAAATAGGTGATGAAGGGAAGGGCGTTTTGATCAGGAAAACGACACTAACGCAAATGGACAAGCAGATTGTTAGTTTGTAATAATAGCACTATGTGGGGCCATTTTGAAACAAAGAAAAAGACAAACAATTTTACCAAAGATATTTAATTTTTTTAATCAATTTAATGTTAAGTCACTACGCACATTAACCAACTAATTAGAGGTTGTTAAGAATTATTTACTATACATAATAATTCAAAGTAAAGATGTAAAAAAATTTCACATTATTGATAGATAAATTATTTTCTAAAATTAATGTAAAATTTAAATAAAAATAATTTTAAACCAAAAATAATAAATTATCACCAAATATGTAAGTACGGCATATTATTATAGCTTAATAAAAAATTCCAAAATTAAATCGTTAAATATTTAATTGTCTTAAAAATTAAACAAATAATTTTGAAACATCAATTATTTTTTAAGTCCCGAAGGGGATATTTATATTCGGGTGGGGTGGCAATGGCAATGAGATTATGAAAAGATGAATAATAAAAAATTGAAGAAAAAAAAATATTATTTATAAAATATATAATTAGTATTTAATGTTCACCAAAAAAAAAAAAAAAGAATTGGGGATAATAATAAGAGGCTTGGTAGCAGAAGTTTCCTTTCCATGATCCGTGGCGGTGACTCTGACTCTCACGCGCATCTTCTTCTTCTTTTCCCAAAACCCACACGTTTCTCTTGCCTGAGACCCTCGCCGTCGGCGATCGGAGCTTGGTGGCGCCGATCGATTCGGCATCGCAGTTTCATGGTGGCGTCGGCGGTTGCGGAGGTTTGAAATTGAAACGGTGCGTTTTGCGTTGAAGAGAGAAAATGAATGGGAATGGGGGATTGAGCAACGTGGAGATGGAGTACATAAGAAGACACCACAGGCACCAGCCTGGTGAGAATCAGTGTGCCTCTGCGCTTGTTAAGCATATAAGAGCACCGGTTCCTCAGGTCTTTTTTTCTTTTTTTGAAGAAATAATTTACTATTCGTGTGTTACTGTGTGTGCGGATAGTTTTTGATTTTGCATGCATCATTGTGATCCGGTTGGGTTGGATATTCGTAGTATGTGTCTGTTTTTATTTATCGTGGTGCTGTGGAGTTTGATTTCGGAGGTTTTTTTTTTTTTTGCTGTTTTATGCGATGTGGGGTTTATGGATATGCTTCAATGCTTACCTGATTTGGTTGAGGGCGTTGGAGTTGGTTTTGTGGTTCCTCTGCTCCCCAGTACCGTTTGATCTGATCCTGTTCTTTAGGTTTCGGGAAAGAATGTTTGTGTTAGAAGCATAAGTGGGAGGTTATCTAAGGCATGTTTGGTTTAGTATATTTCCGAAAAATTAATCATATCCCCCCCCAATTAGAAAGCTTTCGAGGGGGGAGATGATTATTTTCCGAGGAAAAAATATTTCCCGAACGTACCATATTTGTTTGTTGTCAAATAATGGAAAAAAACAAGGTAGTGTGATTCTAGTGAAATGTTAATTCCAGATCTCGTTCTTTGTCATCGTAGCATGGAGCAGTTATAGTTCATCAATTGGGACTGATTAATGCATTTATCCTTTCAGCAAGAAGTTTCAATTCCCGAATCTTTTAGCTCTTGTTAAAATCTTGTGTTACAACTTATGTTTTTGTTTGATTTGACAGATCTATTTCTGTTATTACTGTTTTTTGAGAGGGATGGAAGGGGTATTTGCAATTGCAAGGTTGTTTACATTCTTTATTTTAGCGCATTGAAGGCTAAATTACCTATAATTTGTTGGGATCTGGGTCCATTCAGCTCAAATTCACGAGAGATATACGATTGGTAGCTTCAATCCAAATGAATATTGATATATAATTTGTAACCAAACATGCCGTAGTTTAGTTGCTGCAGAGGTGTATTACAGTAGTAAATAGTAATATTGAAACATTGCCTTTTTTATAGGAAGGTTAACTAAAAAAATGACCAAGTTCAAAGTGAACCTAATTTTGTTCCATTTTCTCTTCCTTGTGGCTTCTGTTTTGGAATATAGTTTCATGTGCTTCCTGACAATATTTTGCAATTTTGTATCATGCAGAAACACCTTTGATTGAGATTGCCTGAATGTTTATGCTCTGTTAGAACCTACCCTGTATGTGTGAAATTGTTTATTTATTTTGCATAGATTTTCTTTCTCTAGGTCTGGTCCTTGGTGAGGAGGTTTGATCAGCCACAGAAGTACAAGCCATTTGTAAGTAGATGTGTTGTTAGGGGAAACCTTGAGATTGGGAGCCTGAGAGAAGTTGATGTTAAGTCTGGGCTTCCTGCCACTACAAGTACTGAAAGATTGGAACTCCTTGATGACAATGAGCATATTCTCAGCATCAGAATTATTGGCGGTGATCATAGACTTAGGGTATGAGCTTATCCTTATAACAGCTGATTTTTTATTTATATTCTACTTTGCATAAAACCTTGTGCTGGTGCGAGTCTGGACTTATTCTTCTGAAAAAGCATTTATCTTCTTTATAGTAGTGAGCACTCTTCCCTGCATATCCATATATTATACCTTGTGTGCCAATTTAATTGCGTGAGACAAAGAGAGGTGTGTTCATCTTCACATCAATAAGAAGGAGGTATGCAATTTGCTTTTTTTTTTTTTTTTTTTTTTTTTTCTCGGCTGCTTAAAATATCTCTGATGTGTATAGAACTATGATCTTAGTTCTGTCAGTGATTCCTTTGTTAGATGATTTGTGTTTATGTTATTCTTATAATTGATTGAATGTAACCAATTTCTCAATTGAGGCAAGATGTTAGATAATGTCAGTACACAGTCTTGATTATTTCTTATGTTTATTACATTCTTCCAATATGCAGAACACTTTCAGTTCTATACAACATTGTAAATGTTGGCATTTTTTTGGCGGGTGAGGGTGAGAGGAATCTTGTTTGCTTGTAAATTTGTCTTTCTGTTTCTGACAAAGTTCATTTGATTATTTTGATGCATGTGGCCTTTTATAGTAAAGTTTTCATTATAGTAGTTTTCATTACTAGCATTGCTTCCAGCATGAGTATTATATTAATTTGCTTGGTTGGCCTTGAAGTTAGTCTAAATGATTAAACTTTCTTGTCCTTCTAATCCAATAGAAAATAAACTTTTAACGTAAGTTGTATATTTTTATTTTTCAGAACTACTCATCTATCATGTCCCTCCACCCAGAAATTATTGATGGAAGACCAGGTACACTGGTAATTGAATCTTTTGTGGTGGATGTACCTGAGGGCAACACCAAAGATGAGACCTGCTACTTCGTTGAGGCCTTAATTAAGTGCAATCTGAAGTCACTTGCTGATGTTTCAGAAGGGCTTGCTGTGCGGGATCGCACCGAACCAATAGATCGGGTATAGGAGGTTTCGTTCAGAAGTTGCTGAGCAATCGGCTGCCATGGATGAAGCTTCAGCGGCTTTCCTATCTCGGAGGCTTAGGAGACGGACTGGCAATTATGCTGCTTCCATTAGTATAGATTAGCAGTGTTCTTCATTCCATTTGCTCTATTGATTACCCTTGTGATATATGCTGTTTACTCTCTAGCAGTTAAAAGAACATTATTTGAGACAGGTGACTGAATCCAATGATGTAACAGGTGAAGGACCAGGTGCTTCTTGGAGATGTTCATGGTTTTTGTTTTGTGGTATGTTCTTTATTGTATATAGGTGGTGGTGAAACTCGGTCTGTAAAATTATTTTGATTGGTCAGTTGTAGTTTCTAATTGCAGTAGAAATTAAACATCTAGTGGGGATTACTTAATTCTTATCACGGAGTTCCCTTTGGACTCGGTACATACATTGGGTTTTCCCCTTTTCTCTCTTTTGATGGAATGACATATAACTGAGGCTGGTCCTGTACAAGCTCTCATACGGAACCCAAGTGGCTTGGCCGATAGGAAGAGAAAGGGAATAAAAGGGATAGAATAATTTTGAGGTTTAAACTATGCACTCTGATTGTATACGCCACTACTACTAGATTGCTTAAGAGATATAGTTTTGAAAATTAATAGTTAATATATATATATATGGATTATGCTGTATTTCAAAACTGATAAATAAAAATTAATTTACATTTTCAAAATGTGGTTCTTATTAATTGAGCATTATTTTAATACGTATTTGAACACGCTTATGATTTATTATGACTCTGGCAGTAATATCAATTGTAATTTTTTTTTCATCTATAACTAAGATTATTTATTTTTATCTTTCAAATTTAGAGATTTTAGAAGAGTTGGATCCTTAAGAGGTATTCTATTGAAAAATTCAGATTGATTCCGTTAGTTTAATCAGAAGCAGCTAAATCCGTAAGTTATAAATGGTGAACTCGTCTAAAATGGTGCAAGTATGTTAAGAACATGGACGTACTAGTTTATTTTATTTGATTTTTTAAAATAGTTATTTTGTATTAATTAAAAATTATACTTGTTTTCTTTTAATTATAGTTTTTTTATTTAGTATATTATATAATTTTAAAAATATTTATCACCAATTTAATCATGATTTAAACTAATGAGATTAAATAATGAGCTAATATTTATACGTAATTGGAAAAAAAAATTGAATATATTAGGTTTTATACAAAAGAATGCATCTTAAAAAAGAATAGAAAGTGTTAGATACACATCATTATTGATTGAATTGAATGAAGAAACGCAAAAGGAGGAAAGTGATCACATTTGAATCCAGAAACGGAAAGAAGAAAAATGACAGTAAAAAAATTATAATATTTTATTTTATCATTAAAAACTGTATAATATGTTGATATTTATCCAAACTTTTGGTAATAACTAAAGATAAACCATCTTCCCATCGATTGGAAATGCTGGATAAGCACTTAAGCAGCATTAATTGGACAGATTAACGGCAGATTTTTAGCTCAACTACAATGTGTGCCTCAAAAGTTTTACCTTTATGCAAATTTTATCACCAAGTTCTTTTTTTCCCTCATGAAGGGTGCTTCCAAATCTTTAAATTTTAGTGATTTGTCTTCTAGTTAATTGTTTGTCAAAATATTAATGGAGCATTGATATAATAAATATGATGTGGATAAACTTAATGACATGATATATTTGATAAAAATTTAATTGTAATTTGTCCTCAAATTTTTATTTTTTCGACAAATTTTATTACTAAATATTTTTTCTCAAAATTTTTACCCTCAAACTTATATGTTTCGGTAATTTGCGTCCTCTTGTCAATTATTCGTCAAAATATTAATGGAAGTATATTGATAGTACTAGTGGATTAGCATTTTCATTGTAAAGTCCAACCATAAAAATTAATTGCTATTGAATTATGGAACACATACAATCTAACACATTCTTTAAGTGTACAAATATATTCATGTTAAGCTAATACAAACAATACATGTTATCATAAATGTGAGAACCCATGATTGAATACTTGAGTATATATTAAGAATGTTACTTTTACTATTGGGTTCATGTGAGATATATAAGATCTATATATTAAATAAATGGTAACTAATTATTACACTAGTTATTTAAAAGTCCGGGAATTGAATTGTCACAATTCATTCACAAAATAAAACCATATGATATGTATCCATCCATTTCAAATACAATTCCATAGTTGAAGATATCTTATTTTTATGATGGATTCAATGGGATCAATGATTTCAATAAATTTTAGTTTAATTAATCAAACAACACTCTGTCCATAAAAGAAAATTTTTGACGAATTTTTGAGGGACAAATATCTGTCAGAAATATGATCGTTAAAAAAAATAATCTATCAATAATTTTCGATGGAAATTTTTGTAGGAAATATTTGTCAATAATTTTACCTATAAATACTTTTTCCAGTAATTGTTGAAAAATAATCTGTCAAGAATAATGATTAATCATTATTAATAGGTAATTTGTCAACAAAATAGACTAAGTTTTCTGATAGATAAATCTATTAGAAATTACAGACAAAAACATTCATAAAAAAGTATCATAGATATATCTATTGAAAAACTTAGTCTACTTTACTGAGAGATTATCCATTGGCAATTACTACACTTCATAATCTATATTATTGAATTATCCATCAATAATTTTGTCATTAATCTTTTTTATTATTCATAAATTTATTAATTTGATTATTAGGCAATATTATAAACATGCAAATCAACAAATATTATATAAAGGAAACCTATACAAAATAAATTTAAAATATCATACAATTATTTATCATAATAATTAGAATGTAACATAAATTTATCAAAATTACTTACAAGCATGGTCATCATGACCAATAATTCCAATTAGTGATACTAGACAAAAAAAATAGTGATGCTAACACATCACCAAGACCAATAAACAACCAAACTTTAAACATTTGATAAATCCCATCTCATAATTACTTTACCACAATTCACTAAAGAACTAAGTACATGACAAGGACGATATATAATACTTTGCTCTTTTCCTTTAATTGTACTAAACAAAGGGATGAAACCCCCTCCTCTCCATTTCCTTTTCATTAGATGCTGGCGCGGAATCATTGACATAATTTGTAGAAGAGAATTATGATTCTAACTTGCTATGTTGTGACATTCTTAATAAGTAACGCCTCTTCCAAAACTCACCCTCGTCAACTCGAACTTCTTTGTTAGTATAAAAGAACATTTGAAAGAGAGATTGCATAATCAATATAACGTTTTAATACATGTTTAGGTTAAAGTCTATTTTATGGAAACAAGCTTCCAACATACATATATGGAAAAACTTGATAAGCTTCCTCATGTGATTAGGATAGTTTCTAAAGTTTATCTCGATGAACCAAAAAACATATTCAAAAATAAAATAAAATACATAATGTGTAGCACAAAAAAATTGTCATGACCTCCCCACCTTATACAAGACAAATTACATCAAGCTTCCTCTGTAGATAGTCAAATACATCATCGAAACAAACAAAATTTGGAGAGATGCATTTTAAAAGCACAATTCAAGAAAATTCCAAATATACATCCGAATTTCCTTAAATCTGATTCTTTTATGATAAAATATGAAAAGTTGGAAACCAACTAGTCTAATACAAACATAACTCTACTTGAGCTAGAGTTTAAAATATAAAGAAAGCAAAAAATTTCAATAAAGAATTAGCCAATCCTAACAAGGTTGGAGTGGTTATAACATCTTCATTGCTCGTGGACGTTTCCTCATTCAAGACAATATACCACAACTGCTGCATGACAACACGTAGTAAAGTTGGATCTTATCCTATGAGCATTAGAAACAAACCTTGAGTCATGCTAAAGCAGAGCACACAAATGCTTTTCAAGTAGGATGAACGCCAATTAGATGTTCCATAAGCCATTAGATTATTAATTCTATGATTCTGATTAACCTGACTATTTATAAAACACTTGGTCAAGCTCTAGCAACACCAATTACCTTGTTAGAAAATTTTCTATTATTTGCCATATGTCAATACTCATTTTTGTTAACCGTTTTAGCATAGTAAATGAATTTTTCTTACAACCATATTTTACAGTCTTAACCTTCAATATGTATAGTTTCTAGAAATATTTTTTTTCAAGTTTTAAAAATTCATCTAAAGTTTCAACTAGTGACATTTTCGTGGCTGGTCCCTGTCAGGAAGTTGACAGAACATCAGTTGGTCAAAAATTTTCCAAATATTCATCACTTGAAAATAAATTAAGAAATTTTTTTGTAACATTTCACACAGAGGCATACCTCTACTAAAAAAATCATGTAAGAGTTAGACACAAAAACTAGAGAATAATATTCTGCAGTAAAATTCAGTAAGTTTCAAGATAAGCTTGCAAGCATTTAATCAAACATCAAAGCATCAATTTAAAGCAAATTCATCAACAAGGACATTACAAGATCCAACTAAGCTTCGTATGGCCAATCATGAAACCACAACCCCATTATATGTTGAATCATACCTTAATATCTGTTTTAATAATGACAAACTCTTAGTTTCAAGTTTTAATATAAAAGAGTGTTCTCATGTGAAGTACTAACACGCTTGTTCAAGTGTTTCGGAATTGTTATGTTTAGTACTCAGAAGTTTAACAAAATATTGCAACTCAAAAGCTTCAATAGATAGCATTCAATCTACTTGAGTTGTTTTGTAGCACCAAGGTCTTGACTGTTTAATGAGCATACAATGTCTACTGATCAAAAAAGTTCAACATGAACATTTCCTCTCAAGGGGAATGCCTTGATGATTTGGCTCAAGAGACCAATTCTTTGAACCACCCATCAAAAGGTTTCCGTTAAAACTCAAATTTTTAGAAGATTGGTACTGAAGTCTTTGCTAAGAAAGATTGAAAAGAAGATTGCTTATAAGGTAACATCTTCTAAAGAAAAAGATGACAACAACAAAAAAGGAAATTACAGAATGTCAACACTACTTAAAAATTAAGCTAGGTTCAATAGATTTATTTCGAAAGCTATAAAAGGAAGACTAGGGCTACATTTTTGAAGCAAACAATATCAAAGAGAGTAATCAAAACACAAGCTATCAAAGTTGTAATCCTTGCTTTATACTTTGCTTTTGAGGGAAATCCACTTCTACACTTGTATCAATCTTGTAATAGATAAACGAAGTGTGAATCTTCATCAATGGGTATCTCAATAGATTGTTGAGTGTGAAATCTTAGTAGGTGACTAAGTGAGAACTACTAACAGAAGATGGCTATATAGTAGAGTAATTGTATTAATAGGTGGTTGAAGTTGTAACTATAACAACAATTGACTAGGACTGGATGTAACCCAGATTGAGTGAACTAGTATAAAAACTCTGTGTGAAAATTCTCTAACTTTATCCTCTTTCTTGATTTATTTGTTATTTTGCGTAATACACGTATTGTTGTGCAATCTGTTGAGAAAATAACTTGCTTAAAAACTGGTTTCTCAAATTAACTTAAGTTTTGAATTCTCAAAAGGTTACTTTCTAAAGGACAATTTTTCATAAAGAAATATTTTTTAAAAAAACACGACAATTCAACCCCTTTTCTTGTTTTTTAACATTCACTTTAGTTTATTCAATACCCAACAATGTTTATTCCAGAAGGTGTTTCAACAAACAAACCTCCAAAATTTGATGGAAAGGAATACTACTGGAGAGACATAATGAAGTTATTCTTAGATTCATAAGGCATAGATCTATTGGAAATAGTAGAAGAAATGCCATACATACCAAAGAAAACTATGGATATAAGGGTCATTGTAGACAAAGCAAAAATGGAGTGTTGATGAAATGTGAATTTCAAGACAATGGCTTTCAATTTGTTAAGGTATAAAGCATCCATTTGAAAATTCAAACATGTCAATCACAATAAATAATAGACGTTAAGAACATGATGGACAATTGTATGCTTCATTTGATTTGCTTTATCTTACATAGTCTGAAACAACTTTTCAAAAATATTTTCTTGCTGAAAGACGTAGTGTTTGTTATCATTAAAACTTACAAAAAAAATGAGAGATCTAAGATCGTCTTTTGACTTAACAATAGTGTTTTGTAAAAATGAAGGAACTACATATAATTTCTCTTGTCCAAGAACACCTTAACAAAATGGTGTAGAGAGAAAAAATAAATCACTTCAAGAGATGGCTAGGACACTACTTTCTGAATTTGGAATTCAAAATTATTTTTGGGGTAAAGTAGTTAACACAACTTGTTACATTCTAAGCAGATTAACTCCGAGAAAGTTTTTGAATATAACTCCTTATGAATTATGAAAAAATAAGAACCCTAGTGTGTCATATTTTAGAAGAGGTTTAGAGTGAGTAAGAGGTATTTATCATTTATAAGGGTAAAATAGTCTAAAAATATATATACATGAAAATAGAAAATTACTTTTATATATAGGTATAGATAACATCAATCTTTGAAAGTAGATACTAGATAGTTAATCTCCATATCAAAAACTATATATATATATATATGTGTGTGTGTGTATTACAAAATACTTTCCACCTAATTTAAATCAATACTAGTATTTTAACATGTGCAAGTATAGGTAGGTTTATTATATATAATTAAAATTTGATAATAAATTATATATAAATAAATACTATATTTGAATATATAAATTATATTTTAAATTCATGACAAATAATTTATATTGTCAAAAAAAAATATTTAACTTATTGATAATTTATTTTAAAATATTATCATTTAATTCATAAATAACTATGATAAATAAAACCAAATTAGATAGAAATTTAAAAGGATTTCTATAAATTTTTGTTAAAGAAAAGTCTCTAAAAATACTCTTATATAAGATAAAAGTTCGTATTTAAGATATAAGGGTTGATATAAACGAGATTTATCCCTTTAGAACTATTTTCTTGTCAATACTTTTAATCGGACCATTTCACCATTTAATTACTTAGAAAAATTAAAAAATTAATATTTTTTAATATTTTTTTGGTACGATTAGTAATTTTCTCACTGACTTCATTTTTATTACTTCTAACTCTAATGAATTAGACACTTTCTC